AAGTAAGAATTGCATTGTAGTATGACTCATTTCCTGCCGCGTACAATTTATATTAGGTCAGCGTTCACGGTTCGACTTCTGATATTCAGATCGAGTTCTAGGTCAAACTGGTTTGTTCGACTTTCAAGAAATTCGAGTTCTAGTTCGAGAACCGAGGTACCACTGTATATGCAAGTTGTTTTTGTGCACATACATTTTTTAGATAATGATATTTACACAAAGTTAGAGGCCCCAGGTAACAAACGCATGAGTTCTCCAATGTGCATTGAAATGCAAATTTTGGTGGAGGTAGGGAGAGGCTTGGTGTTAAACAGAAAGAGGACCAATTTGCAAGGACATACACCAGAGCATGATGGGTAAGGTCAGAGGTCAGGAATACTGTTGGTAAACAAAGCCACACAGGCGGTGTAGTGCAAATGAGGTGCAAGATACGAGCACAGATGCATGAGTAACAGCACTGACCTGCCTCAAGATGAACCATGACTGTCCCTGAATGAAAAGGAGATGTGGTGCAGAGCTGGAGTGAAATGCCAAAGGTACAGTGAGGCCCCTTCTACCACAGGGCAACCTGCTAGAATCAGGTCTTTTGTCTCAAATCTGTCACGTCCACATGGTGCAACTTTCATTCCCCAGCTCCACTTCAGTTTGCATTGTGCAAAGCCGGTTGCTCACACTATATTTACGTTAAGGTCTGTGGCTGACGACTGTGCTAGAACAGAAGCTGATGTGGTAACCCAGATGACCGCAGTACAAATCCGAGCAGTCAAACCAAGACCTCTGTTGCCATCCAGATGTTTAAAGGGGCCAAGCATTCAAAAATGAACCGTGGAATTTGCCCATGACTAATGGAATCTAAACACATTACGTAACCACTTTCATTACATTAAAATAAATAAAAAATAAAGTTGTCTTACAGAGCACATTAAAAGCTTTAATGAAAACCAGGACCACACAACGACCTTGAGTATTTGTCAGCTAAACTAACATGCTTTGGAGTGCTGTTCTGGGACGGCAAAGCTAGCATGGTCAATCAGGATTTCATAACCACACTAATCTCGCACCAAGCAGTCAGATAGTGATGATGCAACTGCTGGTAATGAGCAGGTCCCAGTGGCGTTTCACCTCGGGCCTGTGCCTGCCCTCCCCCAAACAGAAGTCTAGATTAACAGGACGTAAAACAAAATGCGATTTCATGATGGAAAACAGGTCACATCCCACTTTGCTAACTGGAGCAATGAGAGCAGGTGAACTTGTTCAGAGTTCGTTCCTGACTTAAACGTCACTGGAGACAATCTCTCATGTATACCCTGTCCTATAAATACCATTTTCTTCCTGCCTCAAAAGGTTAAGCAAAGAACGTTGAAAGGACATAACTCGATATCAAAGCGCCAGTTCCAGTTGCAAAAACATTGCCATCTTGGGATACATGAAACCTGATATCAGGATCAGCATCACAGACCATTGTCCAATCACAGTCATCTTAGGGTCCCGTGTGACTGGACAATGGCCTGTGATGTGGACCTTTATGTACTGCAAAGAACCAACCTATGAAGGAGGTTGGGATTGTAGCTTAGGCCCCAGAATGTCTCTTGAAGGGATGAGAGTGACTAGTGACAAAGTGAGGCTACAAAACCAACCTGGGGCTGCTATTGGCATCAAAAACTCACCCTAGGAAGTGGTTGAATATGGAGGAATCAGGTTGCATTTCTTTGTTTCTACATACCATGGTAAAGGGTGTAGACTGCAAGGTGCTGACACAGTTCACAAAAAAGGGCCAGTCTACTTCCAATGATTCATTGCTGAATACTAATCCATCTCAAAGCATACATACTGCAAACAGAGCAATAACAAGACTGTTTAAATGAAGATTTATAAGTACCTAAATGAAGTCATAAATCCCCATGGGCTAACTATACTGAAAGCATTGGGTTTAATGAAGTACACAGCCCTGCCAGCTATGGAGGTATTGAATATTAAGACATTTCGTCAGCAAACACCACTTAATTTTAGACTAAACTCCACATTTAGCACAAGCTTCATAACTGGGTATGTTTCAGTATCGAAAAAAGTACAGGTTTAGCTTTTGGCTTTATCCACAATACTGCTCAGGTGGAAGAGTGAATCCCCCAGCCTAGAATATGGTGTCCTTCACAACACGTCACCCCACCAAAGACCCATGCATCCCCCCCCTCGCCCCCAACGGAACACCTACTCGTGGAGGCGTGTCACTCAGCCATTTGTGGAACAAAGCCATAACATGGAAAAGAGCGAATAAATGAAGGCTGTATTATGTGGTGGGGATCAACACAAAGAGCCTCCCTATTATGTAACAGAAGATCCAAGCTTTGACACACACGGTTTCTTGCTTCTCATCTCTGACAAGGATGATCTCAATATTCTTACTTTCATTACACTTGCAGGATAAACTCTGACATTAACATTTTCATGCAGATCTGCAGATGGGTAAAACAACATTTAATCTTTATTCTCTATGAATATAGAGTTCATTCAATCCACTGAAGCTCAACAGGACTTCAGAGGCAATAAAGAAAAGGCAATTTGCCACCAAGAGAAATGTGACATAAGTACCGTTACTTACTTTGCGATGTCCATGTACCCGCAGGAGGCTGCGGCATGCAGTGGGATCCAGCCCTCGTTGTCGGGCTGGTTGATGTTGGCTCCATTTTGCACAAGGAACATCACCATATCCACAGTGTCATCTATGCAGGCCTGTGGAAACGGAGAAGACAGAGCCCTCGGTCAGCCCCCACTGCTCTCAATTAGCTGTCCCTTCTGCCCCTCCCTACCCTCCACAAAAGAACCCGTTTGACCCCCCTCTCGTGCACAGCGATGACAGTGAGCAGATGTTCTGTGGACATCGGCCAGCATTTGAAGGGCACGCCTGGCGTAACAGATCGCTGGAGCTCCTCAGGAGCCTGGAGGACGCTGGCAGAAACACTTTCCAGCTCTGTGGGGTGGGGAGGGGGGGGGACGCTGCCGGGGAATTTCAGATATTAAAATGTGTACAGTTAATAACCTGAAGGTCCATTTTTACAGCAGCTCTTCCCTAAGAATGGATCATTAGATCATTACCATAAAGCACAAGCGAGGGAATGCCAACAAACATTCCTTTATGGCAAACCACCTGTAGGTTAACCAGACTCTGATGATTGTCAAACGTACCAGTCATTCTAACCAGTAAAGTTTAAGGTGATAAAATAAACAAGTTAATATGCACAGTAATACATTACTCCTATCAAATGGTGTCAACATTCTGAACTATTCTTCATATACAATTTGCATGTGATACACAACAAAAAGGTTTTTAGCAAAGGTATCTTTGCGCTTTTCCACAAAGTTTGATCTCTATTCTCCGCAGGCTAACAGGGGTACCAGACTCCGCAGAGTTGCAATTCATTCTATTGTGGATGATGCGATTGCAGCTCCTTCGGGGAGACGCGCCTTTTCCATTAATTCGCCAAAAGCTGAGTCAGCAGCAGTGACCAGACAAGGTGCCAGAAGACAGGTGGCCGTTTCTGGAGGAGCTTGCAAAACACTATGGAAAAGGCTACATAAGGACAGACTAACAAGGAGTTATCTATCCAAACCAAATGTGAGCATCTCTTAGATTTTAATTACATTAAAAAAAACCCACAAAGGTGCCAGACGCCCTCACTGCTATCATAAAATCAGTGTGTCACATTGGCGTCAGAGCAGGAAGAATAGCGCGGTCCCAAGCTAGGCGAACAGGACTATCTGGCTGCAGCCCGTGCCCAAATTTGGGCTGTTTACTGGGCTGTACAGGGCCAGAGTAGAGAACATTCACGTCTCTTATCTGGGCGGGGGGGGGGGGGGGGGGGAGGGGGCTCAAACAGCAGCCAGGTGTGGGCCTGCCTTTTCCACATCTGAAATAGCTGGGGGCGCGGGACCCAGACTGAGCATGCCCCAGACAGCCAGCACCACACAACATCCCTATCGCGAAGAACATCACCACGGATCCTGAACTGTCATATTTCACATAAAATGTCCCAGGTAACTGAAATAGCCTTGGCTCTTCTGTGCCTCCATCTCCCATGAATCAACAGGCCTAACCAAGGGAGCTGGCAGTACAGAAGTGAGCAGGAAAGAGACAACAGACACCGAAGCTTTCTGCGAATATCCTGCAGGGTTTAAGCTGCATACCTGTTCCCAGCAAGCACTGCCTGAAATCCTGTCAGTGTATAAATGGGGGAGGGGTGGCTGACACCTGCCACGGATATGTCAAAGCAGAGGATCATGGCAGGCTACTGTCATTCTAGAGTATGGGTCTGAGCATGGAGGACAGAGTGCTCCTGCTGCAGGGGGAGAATCCAGAGGCAGCTGCCCATAGTCACACGGGTGACAAAGGCCCCACCCTGCAGCAGCATTCAAGGGTGCGCTCATTGGTTTATAGCACAAAGATGACACCTTTCTATTTCTGCACCCTGCGATCGAGATCTTCAAGGAAACACAGTGGAGGGTGGAGAGTGGCTTTCAAAAGGGAAAAGGGCTAAATGAAAACACTTCATAGCCAGCTGAGATCTGAACTCATATGCCGGTCACAGCGGAGCTTGCCAAGAGACTGCAGCATTGCGTTAAACCCAAGGCGTAATCATTTGCATTTTGTGCCACAAATTAGATTTATTAATTTAATAGCTCTGATGTCCTACTAATCGCCTGTGCTTTGGTAGAGCCATTTAACACAGAAGAAATCACGCTTTCACTTCAAGACAGAGAAAGCCGTGAGGGGTGACACCCATAATTCATAGGACTTAGAAATGTACACTGGCAACATGCCGTGACCCCCCCCTCAGGCTTCTTATATGGCACAGCTCGACTTTAATTAGCGCAGATAGCGGCGCCGAAAGCCTGAGGCTGGACATCATTCTCCTCAGAGGCCCGAAGACGTCCTGGCTGGGCTTGGGAACGTGCCAGCAGAGGAAAGGGAGAATTTACCTCTGTGAGTGACATTGAGCAATGGGACCCGTGTCGACCACTGGCTGGCCCGAAGACCCATGGCAGTGGGGGGGGAGTGCTCTTGTGTTTGTGATGGTAACCGTTGCCAAGCACATTACAATCCCCCCGCCCCATCCAATGCTCAGAGCCACACATGCTGCAGGTTACAAGAAAGGTAAAGCTTCACTCCGATTAGACCATCAGCTGTGCCGGATTCCTCCCTCTGTATTTACAGCTTCAGCTTGGCCCTCTGCTTGACGTGGACGCCAGTCACATATAACCCTACTGAACATTCCAGGCTACAAACACCCCAGACAGGGCGCTGCTCACATTTTTGATGAAGGGAACTGCCTTGGGAATGAACTAGGTGTTAAAAAAATAAAATAAACAAAAACAAAGGCCATGTGACTGAAGAAGCACATCGTTAAAAGAGTGGTTCTGCCTGCAGAGCAAACCTGACTGACCTCACCAACTGTTACCAAATGAAGACAGAACAAAATACACAACATACTCAGGTGGTTTTTATTCCCCCGACGTTGCGTGTCTGTGGCCCCTTCCAGAACTTTCCAAAACGACTCACAGCACCACCTGAGTAAGTCTTCGTGCACATCTGACACAGACTCGACGTCCCGTTTTTTTTGGCCTCGGCCGGAGGGTAGCAGAATGACGTCAGCAGAATGTCAGCCCATGCGTACCAGGAACTGGGATCCGGCGGCTTTTTTTCCCAGCACAGGAGGCAGAATCTGTTCTGATACCAGCCACGTTAGGGAAGCAAAGATAACCCGTATCCACAACAAACCCCAAGGCTCTCAGATTTACAAAGGGATGCACAGTGCGGCTAGCGCACTGAGTCATGCCAGGCTTAAGAGCACACACAGGACTTTAGAGATCACAGCCGACACGGCAAAGATGTCAGAGTCAGGTCATTAAAAGCGAAGGGGGAAAGTACGGCCAGGGTCTGACCTCAACAAAAAGCAAAACCATCCGACTCCTGTACCGGAGGCTGACAGACCTACCGGAGCGTGAACTGAAATGTGCGCCACTCAACAAAGCACAAGAAAAGGCTCTACAAGGGGACCTATTACATTACAAGGATCAGATATCTGATGCACAAGCGGGCAGACGGCAAAGGAGGGGCTGGGAACATATTACCCACCAAACCCAGTTCAGCAGTTAAGCAGTTCAGCAGCCGTCTGTAGAAATCAGCAGAACTTCATGCTTCTAACTACTGTGTCACTTTCAATTATGCAGGTATAGTTTCTCATCGAGCGTCTTTGAACTGCTCAGAAGTCACTAGCAAAGACTACTGGAGATCTAATACAACTTCGTAGTCAGCTTGTTGCACAATTTTGGCATCTTTGAATGGAGACGTCAGTTACTAGCCACACTGATGCGTGACAGGTTAATCCGGACTGGAGAATGAAGATCCAACAAATGTGGAGTGTAAACCTTTCAGAAATCGTAATCATTCTGCAGGTAGTGCAACTATCGCTGCCGCTCTGGGTCCTCCTTCAAGAAAAATGTCAAATGATTAACTCAATAAAGCTTTCCAAAGAAGCAGAAACATCATCACCCAACATATTCACAGGGTCCTGCAGGCAATGCATAATGAAAATAGGCATCCAGACTCACTCTCAAAGCAGACACAAATAGACCTATAATGTGCATTCTTCAAGTCCAAACTATCCCTATGAGAAAAAAAAAAAAAAAAAAACATAGAATGAGGATAAACTTTCATGCCTGTGAGACCCATGTCAGAAGGCCAAACGAATAATAGGCTTTATTTTGGAAAGAGTGAGGCCACCCAGATGACCATGAGAGCAATGAAAATGAAACGGGCCTCCAGAGACAGAACAGAACTCATACTAGGACCCCCTCCGGCTATGTATTCAGGAGGCTTCTGGGAAGGACAGAGGCAACTGGGAGGTTATTCCCAAAAGGGTGCTGCCAAAACTGGTCACGTGATAGCTGGCTAACAGACACCAGCCTCCCAACACCGGTCAAACAGCACTGGAGTGGAATGGCCAGTGACAGCACAGCTGGAGCAGTCACATTAATAGCAGAGCTGTGACAGCAAAGGCACACGTATGGATATACTGAAATGCACCTGAGTATCATCAATATTTGCAGAATCATATGCAAATATACTGGTGAATTTTCCTGTTCCTCTAAAATCAGTACATTTAGCATTACCTTGCTAGTAAAGTGTGTACATTCCAAGTGCAAATAGACATTTTCTATAGCTGCTACAGAAAGACAGCTTTGGTAGGAGACGATGCACTTAGTGTCATACATGGGGAGCACCAGAGTGACGCCGGGATCTGGTTCTTGCGCAGACACGCCTTGATCACACACTCGCGGGCCATTGAACGAACCTGCCGAGTGGTAGAAACTGTGGCCATGAGTGACATAACTGTAAAAAGTGATCATGTGGCCGCGACCATCCTCTGCCTCTGCATTTACTCGGCCTTCCATGCTCAATCCCAGGAAACTGAAATGTAATATCAACTCCCATCTCAAAGGAAGAATCAGAAAGTGGCACAATCACCACACAAGGTGGTGAGAACATGGTAAAAGTGCGCTATGAAACCACAACCATTGTCCGACAGGAGCGAACCTGACCCGAGAACACAGCACTACACAACACAAACAGAGAGAGATAATTAATTAATCCAGCAGATAATGGGCACTATGTTTTTCCATACTTTAAAAGGTACTGTCTTCCTGCGAGCAGTTATCTCCCAGAGCATCAGGAG